CAGCAGCCTTGTCGAAACGTTGTACATTTGCTCGTTATATTAAAAGTTTTTTACTTTCATTACCCCATTCAAGCCGTCTCCAGCCATTATTAGTCTCAAAGTGGGTTCCTCATCATCGAAATTGTCACTAATGAATAATTATAATAAAAATACTAGTTAAAATTAACAAGACTGGTTTAATAACACTTCAAAATTTAGCCTAGGGTAAGCAAATATGTAGATGCAAACATATTACCTGATGGCAATGTAACAGTTTTTATATCATCCTGTGGGATGGTATTAGCACATAGACCAGTGGGATCCACTGGTCCTGGTCTTTTGATCAAAACTTTTGCCTCTTCCCATTTTCCTGGTAACTAAAAAAAATGTTTATAAACTTTTGTATAATAGGAGGCAGAATCTATATTAAAGAAACCTAGATTTATTTAACTTTAGAAATTTTCTTCCAACTAATACCAACCTTCTAGATAAACATTCGTTAATTTATTTCTTTAAAGGAAAAAAACAAACTTGTCAACTAATCTTATAGATTCTTTTATTAATGATCTACCTATATTTTAACAAGTATTTGCTAATTCTCTTATAAAACCTTTTACTGACTATGTAAATAGCTTTTAGAAAAAACTATGGAAATTAAATTAATTAAGCTTTGACTAGCCACCTAAAAGAAAAACATCTGTTCACACATATCTCAGAAGGTTCTCTGCTAAATTCTCTAAATACCATTTTATTAAATATCATAGAGAATTCTTTATTAAACAACTTGTTAATCCAAACTTTAAAAAAAAATGTGTATTATGTATTTACAAGAATCTTTACTAATCACCTTATAAATTCTTGCTTTTGACTATAAAGAAATGTCTGATACTTACTCTACTTAAATTTCTAATTTGACTTAAATTAAATGTACATTTCATATCAAAAGCTAAAACACCTAATAATTCAGGAAACAAAATACCATACAAATTAATTATGAATTTAAAATTTTAATCAACCAATTGAAAATCTGTTTTGTACAAACACAATTAACAATGATAAAACTTGTGTTCAAACTGATGGCAGATTACTATAAAACAGGCTCAAAATGCCAATTTAATTGTGGGATTAAATGTTGCAAAGATTTATTATAAGACATGTACTTTGTTCGCAAAAGTTTCAAACACTTTTCAACAGCTATTCTGTTATCGTGTAACAACAATTCTGCGTTATCATTTTCCTCTAGTTAATATTAACAAGATTGTTTTAATAACACTTCAATATTGAGCCTAGGGTAATCAACTGTGTAGAAATAGATAAATGTCTATTGTAAAGAACTTCAAACTATCCAACTTTAACACTGTATTCTTACTTGGTAGCGATGTGACAGTTTTTACATCATCCTGAGTGATGTAAAAAACACATAGACTAGTGAGAAGTGGTTGAGAATAATCATTGGTTACGTTTTCAATTAAATCTGGTGGTACTGTCACCGGAGTCTCTGTAATATTCTGGTACATTTACCTTACATGACTGAATACATAAATAATAGTTATTTTTAAGTATATAATAATTAAAATATTTAAAACACATAAAATGACCATAGAATTTTCTAAAAAACTGGGTTCCTTGGACAAGATGTAGTATGTTTATTCTAATTTTTAGATTAATAATATGGTATGAACAACACTGCTTTATTGTAATACTGGACTCATGAGAAATTTAAATTATGACTTACATTACCTGTGGTTCATATCTAATGACAATGTCATATTCCAAAGATTCTGGAACATTTCCAACATCAAACACTAGCTCAGATCCTTCATGCACTCTCATGAATCCTAATCCTGTCCATGTAGATTCTCTATCCCCAGTTGGCTCACGTACCAGAACTTGGCAATGCTGAAACATTAAGAGATTAGTATTACAGTTAATTTGCTGTAACAAAAAATATTATAAATGATATATATATTCTGAAAAATAAATTCCTAACCCAAAGACTGTAATATCTGTTCTCATATAACCATCTAATCTATAGGTAGTTATTTTAACAATCAACATCCTACCATGAAAGTTAACATTTTCCTTCTCTAAAAATGCATTTCCAATAGATACTCACCTCCTCACACAGAATAGCGGACTTCCTCAGCTATTCTGTGCATTATTCCAGAGAACTGCAACCCATTAAGTGAAAACTCACACCTAGTCTCATGTGAAACCATGTGAACTAGCACTACTACATGAATAGGACTGCTACACACCCCATGCGCAATGACTTTCCCCCTTCCCTACATTTCGTGCACATGAATTCTCATTCTTTGATGAAGCAATGAAGAAATGTGCACCGGAAAAGGGTAAGGATGGGCGAGAATGTGTGAAGAAATATCTTTCGGAAATACATTTTCAAGGAATGAAAATGTTAACTTCCAAAACAAATACTCACCTCTTCACACAGAATACAAGGAATATCACATTAAGATGGTGGTGGGACAGGTGTAAAGGTTACCTAGATAAGCTCCCTTCAGAAAACATCCAAAGGAAGCCCATGGGGTATGACACATAATGGCAGAGGCTCCATAGGGGCATACCTGTGGGAAACATCTCATCTCATGCAGAGTATACTCGTCACCCATATAAGAGATTGAAAGAGGCAAAGAAGCCATAATTTTGCCATAAGGATGCGTGGAATAGGTATATAGTCATTCAAGAACTCGCACACAAGCCATAAGACAGTGTAAGACTAGAGGGAAGGCAACTAGTCATCACCTACCACCGCCAATTCTTGGCCTACTCTTTTACCAACGATTAGTGGGATTAGCCGTCACATTGTAATGCCCCCACAGCTGAAAGGGCGAGCATGTTTGGTGTGACGGGGATTAAGGTCAGTCAATGAATGGTAGAATACTACCTAAACCAAAGTAGGTGAAGGATGTACACCAATAGTTCATTCCTGATTGACAAGAAGAAAATTCACCTAACAAGATGTGAGTAAGAGGACCATTAAGCACGAGTAAATCCACAAGAGACTGAACAATGGCTGCTACAACCCTGAAATCTAACAGTCCTTGAAAAATCACAGATGAAATAAGGTCTAAACATAAACAATGTTCTACATTCAGGACTAATTATAAATCACCATCATGATAAAATATTAAAGCTTTTGAAACAAAAGCTAAAGTAAGTGAAAATTAAAGTTTCATTAACAATGCAAATCTCATTGAACACTGACAAGAAATTTAAACACGTCTGGCCAATACTGTGCTGAAGAGAAGAAATGATGATTCATGAGCATGAAATGCAGGGGTAGTCACTGCACATGGAGGTGCATGGCACTCCTACTGTTGGAGAGTTCTGTTGCATGATGATGTCATTGTGTAGTAGCAAAAAGTCACATGTAATGGCTGGTGATGGCTTGAATGGGTAATGAAGAAAAACTTTAATATAAGTTTAACATAACAGCAAATGTACCCATTCAAGCCGTCTCCAGCGATTATTAGTCTCAAAGTGGGTTCCTCGTCATCGAAAAAGTCACATGGTTTTATGTGAGATTAGTTGCAAGTTTTCACAAGGCTGATCTTTGCAAATCTCATTGGCAGAATGAAAAGAAGAGCTGAGAAGGTTAGCTATTCAGTGTGAAGAAGCGAGTATTTATTTTGGAAGAAAATATTTCCCCACGAGCTTACTGCAATTGTTTTTTTAACTAATGTTCTAGAAGAATAGAACTAAGTAAAACTGTATACTTATACATAGTTTTACAAAACAAGAATTTACAGGTACATGTGTAAAAGCAAAATTAATGATTTACAGGTGCTTAAAAAGAAATGTTATTTGTAAAGAACAGGAACATTGAACTCGTAGGTACTTGTATATTAGTAGAACAAAAATTTACAAGTATTACATTAGAGTAGAACTAAGAATTTACAGGTACTTATAAAATAATCAAGATTTCAGTATTTAAAGGTATTTTTTGGAGTGGAATTATATTACTCTAAGTACTTATAATATAAAGATGAATCTAAGTACTTACAGGACAGCCTCTAGCAAGTTCTGCTTCATAAACCATATAATCCAGGTTTCCAACAAAAAATCCAGATTCTGGTTGATCACACATACGCCCCCTTAAATGATGTCTACAACGGCACTGGCCAGTCACTACATCACAGTTGTTATCAAAAGAACCACCAGGATCACAGTTACAAGGTTGACATCCTTCTTCATTAGAACTCAATCCCCAATGCTCTGGCTATTGGAAGAAACAAGACAGAAAACAAGCATTTCACCAAAAAGATGAATATTATTTACATAATTACTTTAGTTCAGTAGTTGATAAAGGTTAAATCTTATCTCTTAAATAAATGTACTAATAACAGTTGCCACAAATTTCAACCCAGAGGAATAAGTAATTTTTCATTTTTTTTTACAAAACATAAAACTGTTAATCATTATTGGTGAAATAAATATATATATATATTTAAGCAAAAAAAAATGTGATAATTACAATTTACAAACTATTGTGTGAGTAGATCAAGTACACTAATTTCATTCATGTATATGTTCTATACCCTTTGTATTTCTAACAAGAATATAAAACAAGGGGTTTATTTATATCATAAAAAAAGGTTCTGAAACATAGTTTATTTAAATGTCTACAAACCAAGATTATAAGGTCTGAGTTAGCAGGGGTAAGGGAACTTTTGTTCTGGGAATATTTATTTTGAACTAATAGGCTCGAGATAAAAATTTCTCATGTACTGTTTATTCACTTTCTTTAGTCATTGAAATTTGATTATTTATCCACTTTCTCCAACTCAATAAATTTTGTTAAATTTTCATCACAAAATGTTATTATTTACAAGATATTGCATAGTAAAATAATTCCACAAACTTACCAAACACTGATTACAGTCTCTTCCAACCACATTTCTCTTACAAGTACATTCTCCAGTGAAGACGTTACAACCATGATTACCAATGGTACCAAGTGTGTTGCAAGTGCAAGCTGAGGTAGGCAAAATATATTAATTCCAAAAGTTAGAAATTGTAGTTCTTCATTCACAATACTTTTTAACTCATTGTTTATTTCTTTTTACTCATATTAAACAATAAGTTTATTATTAAATTTAAGAAAATTCACATCATTCATACAGCATGTTCAAATCTTTTAACAACTAAGACTTTATGTTAATTAGTGTGTAAACATTTTTCTTAATTTAACACTGAGTTTTTGTTCTCCAAAAAAATATACTGTTCATATTCTCAGGAACCTAAGCATGTTGTGAAAAATATATCTTAAAACATGATGGTTCACTTAGTACAAGAACAGGTAAATTCAGTAGTTTGCTGCTCAATAAATTTCTAGCAATATTAAATTTGAACAATAACTGTTTATTTACTTAAATGTATTAACTTCACTATAAACAACATCCATTACCAATTTACCAAAAAGCAATAAAAATAGATAATTACTTAATTACTCATTTACCAGAAACAGACTACTAGACTGCAAACTTTGACGATAAAACATTTTTACGTACGTTCACAACCAACTGGATTGTCAGAATGGAAATTCCAGTATCCATTTTTACAACTATCACAACGGCGACCATCTACATTTGTTTTACAGTGACAAGCACCTGCTACAAGTCCTGCTGCAGGATCAGTTCGAGAGTCACAAATCCCATCTTCCAGGGATCCACGAGGATCACAGTCACATGCTACAAAAAGAATAAATTCACTTCGATTAAGAGAATATTCAGAATTCCATGGAATACGCAGCTTCTAAATTTCTCATATCTAAACCTTGGTTGTTAGGTATCTAGGCAAAGAAAGTAATTATCAAATTTAAAAACACATATATGTAAATATTAAAAAAAACAACTTAATATTAATTATATCATGAACTATTCAACTATCTTTAAATCATTCTCTGTTTGTTCTTGGTTCCAATACATTACCTGCTGAGTGAAGTGAAACCTATTCATAAGCTTTTTAAAAATTAATCTAAGCTGCAATAAATACACTTATTTATATAGTTTTTTCAGTATAAACCTAATTCTTAATGTTGTTCAATCTTCTTTTTTTTAGCTTTTCTACACATTATCTTTATAAATGGAACTTCTGGCAACTGATGATAATGATCCTAACTTTATGAAATCTGAATCCATAAACTAAACAGAATTACATTATATGTTTTAGGACAGTCTGAAGCATACATCAAAACATACATTTTAATCATGATACTTGCCTTGACAAATACTAGGGTCCCAGATATCTAAGTTGGGGTCCTGGTAGAAGAAAGGTTTACATTGTTCACAGTTTCTACCCATGGTATTATGTTCACAATCATCACACACACCACCACTTACTCTGCCTGTTACTTCCCACACAGCTGGATCAAAGTGACATCTAGTGGCATGTCCATTGCAGTTACATTCTGTGAAATAAGAAATATGAACACAAAACACTTCAAATCTAGCCACCCCTAACAATATTAAATATGGAATTAACAAGTTCTTCTTGGACTTTGAAAGAAATATTTTTATAAAAATAGTAACATCTGTGTACAGTCCTTTCAATCTAATTGCTATTTTTCAAACTTCACTGATATTCTTAAATAAGCAGCTCAACTCATTTAGACCTTTAGCACTTATAAACAAAGTCAATTAACTCCATCTTGTTGTACACTCAAAAACGTAAGCTCCATCCTAGGACACATTACAGTAACAAACTTATAGAATCTTGACTTTTTACTAAGAGTTGTATTCTATTTCATCAAAAGTTCCATACTTATGACCCTTAAATTAATACCTTAACAATAGGTGATGGATAAGAAGACAGATTTGTTTGTTAATAAGTGTGAAGCCTTTTCTAATATAATACAAAAATTATAGTTGTTTATTATCATCTACTGTAAAAATAATTCCTTAAAATACTTGAACAAATAAAGTATCGAAGTTATATATACAAAAAAAAAGATAAATCAAAATGACTTATAAGCCCTCCCACTAAAAAAGAAATTAATTTTGAACTTAATATTTAAAAAATGGATATTTATATGCCAATAGGGAAGGAGAACAATGTGCTAATTATTCTGCTGAATTACATCAAAATTAAAACAAATTGAAAATTAGAAACCAAAGTAAAACAAAAATATAAGTTGATACTGACTTATCTATCACAGAGGGACTAGTATATGGTTGCTTTTTTGGAATAGCATGACATGTTGGCAGGTCATGGATTATGCTAGTAACCAAAAGACATCAATAACATGACAGTGAATGCAGAAGCTTTGAAATTAACCTACTGACAACATTAAAAAGAGTAAGATATTAAAACACAAAAAGAATATGCAGAAATAATATAAAAATAGATATAGAATAAGTATAAAGAAAAATTAATGATAAAATTGTATTTTTTTATTTTAGAATATTCTGCAAGATTATCTAATCTTTAGAAAATGAAACCAAAAATGGTTTAAACTTTTATTTATTACTTGTAAAAACTGATTAATGGTGAAATGGCATTTTTTTTTAAAATACTAGCTTGAAGATTGATATTACTGATGAAGAAACTCCAGTAAGTATTGGGTTTTCTCAGAATTCCTAAAGGGATTTACATAAGTACTAATAGTTATTTTAAAAAAAGTAGATTAATCATATAGATACTTAGGGGAATAAACAATATAAAAGTGTATGTCTTATTTAAGTCTAGAGACCTAAATGATCCTACTAATTTTTAAGCTATAATGAATCTAGTGAATAAGTGTTAATAGCAAATTCATAAATTGGCAGAATGAACTAAGCTTTTAACATAATGTCAAATTGGATTCAGGAAATCTTATTCAACAGTATATAATGTGTCCTAAACAGCTCAATGAAGGAAACTGAAAAAGCAAAATGTGAAAAGTACTATTGTATTTATTCACATGAAACCCAAAGCATTACATTCAGTAGATTGAGCCTTCATTTGATAGTACAGGATGAAAATGTTTAGGTATGTTTAATTAATGCTGTGTATCAATACACTTTCTTAACTGCACAAATGAAATGATTCAAGGTGTGCATGTACGTGTGTGTACATACCCTGTTATAGACAGATAATGTAGTTTTATTTACAAACAAATATTTTTCAACAGTTTTTTTTTTAGATATTCAATGAAGTAAACATTAAAAATAAATCTTAAAAATCAATAATTGGGATTTTTGTGAATAGTAGAAAGATAGCTAAGATGGAAAACTGAATGCTTGGTGAAAAGTGTAAAGAGATTTGGTACTGTAACCAACTAGAAAAGATTACATAATAGAGCTTACATTAAAAAACACAAAGTATATGAGAAACCAATCTAATAAAAAAAGTATAAAAAATGTATTACCAACAAGAATCAAAGACCCCCCCCCCCCCATATACTGATAAGAATGTTTGTGTATCAGACCATACTAATTTTAACTTGTAATTCACAGATATAAACTATTTTTTATCTTGTTTGATCAAGAATTAGAAGAAAAAAAGGACCACAGTTTTTTTTTTTTAGTTTATTTATTTAGGAAATGTGGTAGGAAGAAATAAATTAGAAAATAAATCAACAAAATACGTTATTTACCATATTAACTGAAACTTCAGTAAAACAGCAATTGCTAGAACTAAACAGATAGTCTTAGTACGCTGACAACTGTAAAGTATTAGAGGAAGTATGATAATGTACATAACAGATGTAAAGTTTATACTATAAAGGTTTAACAAAGTGTAATATGCAAATACTACTTATCTTACTATCCTATAGCATATATTTCATATATACAAAATGTTTTCAATTTCTCCAAGTTCCAATTTTGAAATATACTAAATGCAGTTGAGATCATGTTCAAGATTCAGCCAGAGGTGTTATTTTTTGTAGTTTGACTGGTCAAGGATCATGTCTACTGTTTCATGGGGTTTTTGCTTGACCTTGTGTATGGGTGATACTTAAGTGACTGTTGTATATGGAATATACATACTTCTGCATTTAAGTGCTTGTCTTCTGATTGATCAGCTGCAGAAAGAATGTACTTTGTGATTGCAAGTCTTGAGTCTTTTCAAGACAGATTGCTTTCTGTACTAAAAGAGCCAAGACTTGCTAGCAAAGTTTCATCTGCATCTTTTATTCATTCCTTTCATGATCTCGTGAATTAATATTACTTTAAATACAATTTATTATACTTTCTTCATTTAGTTCACTACAATGCAATAGTCCATCCAAATGATTGGCCAACTTTAATTTTCTTCAGAAAATAAATCATTGTATATTATTCAATCTTTAACGTCAGGACTGAATCTTTCAACTCACTTGCAACAAATTATACTAAATCAACAACCTCTCATTTTTGTAGAGATCAGGCAGTTGTATGCAGATATATTCTTGAATTACCACAAAGGTTTGATCTAAGTAAACTAAATTTGTATTTGAATTTGTTTACAGAATGATTTAGAGGCACATCTTAACAAGGCTGATATCCAAGTGTATTTATTCTTAGTCATAAATTTTGATTTAACACATGCTGCACATGAATTTCCAGATAATGTTGTGAAGTGGTATTCTTTCATTTCTTACTATTCTTATTTTGCTTATATCTTACATATCTTTCCCCTGCCATTCAGTTGAGCTGTCTGTTGAGTTTGTTTGTGAATGATATCAGCTCATACACAGTTAGAATTAACTGTAACATTATTCTCACATTGAGACAAAACAACTGACAGTGTGTTATGGTAACAATAGTCATATATAAATCACTCTATCATGTTATGCAAGTAAGTTCGTCAAATGTTTCATCAGCAGTCTATAAACATTCCACATTGAATTGCAATTTCTTCATCTAGTTGTAAATAAGAGAAATGAAGACTTGTAAACCAGATGCTCAAAAACATGGAGTTTTAGACTGGATATTACTTGAAACTCAATTAAAGCTTTATAAGTATTGTAAGCTATAATCAATCAAAGTTTGAAATTGTTGTATTATTAAGTAGATTTTGTGATAACTTATGAAATGGCTTTTTTTTTCTTTTCCCTAACTCTTTGTGTGAAGATTATATTGTTGAGTTAGAAGGTTAAAGTTCAGTTGTAAAACTCTTGAGGCTAGCATTTTCAATTTGTGAGCATATTCTATTTAAATTGTGAAAGTTCTAATAGAAAAAAAATGTTTTTTTAAGAATCTTGGTATTAATGTTTTGATTGTTTTTAGTGAAGGTTATAAGATTCATGACAATGTTATCACATACTCTGAGTACTGAAGAAGGAAGATTTGAAATGTGGACAAATTGATCAAACCTATCCAAGATCAACCATGACAAGACTGGTTGAACTAACAACAATTTTTGACTGCGCAAGAAAGTGCACAAAAATTGGACTTGAAGCAAAGCATTTTGCTTTTTCACCTTAAAAAAAAACAAGCAATATGAAATTTTTGTAAATATAAACTTCTGAACTGACAAATTGGTGTGTTAACTGTTACTACACTACTTCCTTGGACTTTAATAAATAAATGAAAACGAATAACTTTTAGCTGATTTATAGTCCTACAATTTTGTTGCATAATTGATAATTGTAGGTAAAAAATAAAGGAGGATGTGTGGGGTGGAGGGCAGACTAAAACTTGCCTGTAGCTGTAAAAGAACTAGGGCCAAGCATCCTGTGTTTTAAGTGCATTTGTATTTGATACAAGTATATTTTGTTTGTGTAAGATATGTATCACATTCTGAAAAATTCCACCCTTATTAACTCTTTCAGCACAAGCTCGTTCCCTAGGACTGACCTCGTAACCATTTTGTGCTTGCTATAGTTTTCATGCTATAACCTTTAAATTAGTAAAGCGTATGTTAATGAAATTTGGCAGGTTATCAGTAAATGTTACAATGCTTTTATATGTAAAATGTACAATTTTTTTTATTAAGTCTTAAAGTTTGTTAAGCAATGTTTTTCTCATGCCTTTTATTCTTTTTGCATGTTGCCACCTATCCAACATGCAAAGTAATTTTTATTTTAAGATTAAAAATACTTTTATGCACCAGAAACGTTTCAAATTTCGCATGCAAAATCTGTATAATGTCCAGATAGTTATCAAATGTTTTGCAAGAAAAAAACTTTATATTTTATATGTTATTTTCACTGATGAATCTCTGTACACGTTCGGTAGATTTGCCCAATCTTGTATTAACCATAAAAAATTAGGAAATCAATATAAATTATGCCTCTTTCATTCTTGACAACCAATTATAACACGAAAACATAAATGTTTAAACTAAATAGCTTAAATCTCATAACATTATACATTTATATATATTTATTATTTTTATTATATTGACCTTTCAGACTTGCCTGGCTAACAATACAGAAGTTATAATGATGCATCACACGTGCTATTATGTTATGGTATCATATATTATAAAAC